GACCCACACCAGCCTCCCCACAGCCTGTGTTGCCTAGTAACATGCCCCATGGACCTCCTCCTCTCACTTCCTTCTGTGCGTCAACCATCTGCTATGTCCAGTACTGTGAGCCACAAACAGCATCTCACAAGCTAAGAAAGATTCAGGGGACCTTTACTGGGGTCTTCCCAATTCATGCCAGCAAGACCACAGTGCTCTGTCAAAATCCACTGTAAACAGGAAACCTCAGTGGATGGTCGTCCTACTTGCACCTTAGACCCGCTCTCTACCACCTTATGCTTTTACATTTTCACTCTCGTCACAATAAAGTTCTTCAGCATTCAAGCCCTTGACGCCTCTTCTCCTATTCTTTTACCATGGCTCTTCCAGCTTCATGCAGCACAAAGCCAGGGTTCAACAGGCCATTGGGGGGAGTGAACAAGGGCCACAAAGATTTTCCTATGAAATATGCCACCACAAGCAAACCGACCCATGGAAGCCTTTCAGAACATGACGCAAGCCCATTACTGTCTCAAAGAAAGCACTGAACATGACATTGCTCCCCTGTGCACGACTTTTATGGAGTCACCCAGGCTCATGAGAACATTTGGATAGAGTAACAGGGCCAACCACAAAGGAACTCATGTCTCTGACACTGACTGCTGCGAGGACCAATGGTATCCCATGCAGAGTGCACTGGTCTCCACTCTCCTGCTCTGGGATCCTCTTCTGAGTCAGGTGTGTTTTCCTGTTACACTGACTTTCTGGCTGCCTTTTCCCCATTCCATCCATGTCAGAGTCCACAGGCCATGGTCTCACCTTGCTATGGGGTCCACAAATGATGCCTTGGTGAGGTGCTTATGTGGCCACCAGCCCCTCGTCACTGCAGGCCCAACAGTGCAGGGGGTCTCTGGACGGATCATCCTCCCTGCTGCTCTGTTTCTGGAACAAATCTGCAGGGGACCCGAAGCCAGGATCCCTCTGCTCTCAGGTCACACAGAAAGCCCCCAGGGTGAAGTCACAATCCTCCTTACATAGGCTCAATGGAGCCCTGCATGGGGCACTCGGAGCAAGGTGCAGAAATAAGCCTATAACCCAGTTCTGTGAAGATGGGGCTCTGAGATGGTTTGACCTTGGCTGGGTACCAAGCGCTCATTGAGCAACTCTAGCACTATTCTTCCTCAATCAGGTAGGGGGAGAGTATCCCAAGTAGACACAAGGACATGGAGATCACTCACCATGTCCCAGCAGCAGCAAAACAGACTTGACTCAGTGAAATCAATTTATCAAAAGTTAAAGAAGAATTAAGAGAAATAAAAACAATTATTAAAACACCTTCCCCCAACCTCTCCCTTCTTCAGGGTTCATCTTCCCTTCCAAATTACTGACTCCCTTGTGCAAAATAGCACAGAGAGATGGAATGGGAATTGTGGTCAGTTCACACCACGCTGTCTCTGCTCTTCCTTCCCCCTCACACTCTTCCCCTGCTCCATCACGGGGCCTCTTCCACAGGAAACAGCCCTCCACGAACTTATTTGTGCCTTTCCCACGGTCTCTATTGGACTTGGAAAAAGCTTCTGGCATCTTCACACAGAACCTACACAGCAGCCCAATGGCTACCAAAACATTTCCACCTAAACCCACTACAGCCAGTGACAGCCTCACAGGCAGAAGGGCACCAGGACACCCACAGAACTCACCCAATGGGAAAGGCCCAAAGGCAGGCTTGGTGACCTGGCAACAAGGTGAGGAGAGACTGAACGCAAAAGAAAGGGAAGCTCCTCGCAGCCAGCACAGCTCCAAAGCCCAGAAAAGGATGACAGGGTTGTGAGGACATGGGGTCCCCTCTTCACAAGGCACCCACAAACCACACCACAAAAGTGCTAAGAGATGACCTCACTCACAGAAACCCATCTCTTCAGTGTTTTGGTCACATGAACTGCCAGCTGTCCTGAAATGCACCATCAAAACCAAGTATTCAGCCTTTATTATTTGCACTTCAAGGCTGCCGCCAGGGCCGGATGGACACGTCCTCACCAGGAGGACATGCCAAGGGAGCACTGTGGGAAGGAGAACACGCCCCAGCTCATGACTTGCCAGGCTGTGGCACGCACCAGCTGCTTGCTGACAAATGCTGCCATGCGCAAAGGCTGTCCCGCCCCTCGGGGACCAGCACAAAAGCCGGCCCAGAGCCTCTGTCCCTCACTCGCCTCTGCTGACGCCTTCTCCTGCGCGCTCAACAAGGTGAGCCTCAAGCCCCTTGCCCTCTGCTCCTGACCCCCTGCCCCGGCTCTTCCAGCACGCTCTGCCCCAGACTCAGCACCCCTCACACCTCCCCAGCACCACAGCCCCACTCCAGCCTCCCCACTGCCTCGCCCTCCTGCACCACCGCCCCTCGCACTCCCATGCCCTCCGCTCTCCCCACACCCTCTCTTCTCTCCTCTCCTCTCCTCTCCCCTGCCAGGGCCCCTCCACACCACAGACATGGCCTGCTACGACCTCTGCCGCCCCTGCGGACCCACCCCGCTGGCCAACAGCTGCAACGAGCCCTGTGTCAGGCAGTGCGAGGACTCCCGCGTCGTCATCCAGCCTTCCACCGTGCTGGTCACCCTGCCAGGACCCATCCTCAGCTCCTTCCCCCAGAGCACCGCCGTCGGATCCTCCTCATCCGCTGCCGTGGGCAACGTCCTCAGCGCCCAGGGAGTGCCCGTCTCCTCTGGGGGCTTCGGCTACGGCCTTGGCTACGGCTTCGGAGGCCTGGGCTGCTATGGCAGAGGAAGGGGATACAACATCTTCTAAGGGCCTTCCCCACAAGATCTGACATGAAATGCCGCAGCCTGGATTCGACACCATTAATTGAGAACACCTGTCGGGGTCAATGCTAGTACATGGGCTTTCTATCTCACCTCCTCCTTTCAAGGCATCATGAGAGGAATCTGGGTAGTTTACCAGCCCAGCCTCTCTGAAAACATGGCTCATGGACCTCCTCCTCTTCTCCTATCGCTTTCTTTGCATGACCCCATCAGCTGTGTCCACTACTGTCTGCTGCAATCACCACATCACATGCAAAAAGCTATCAGAGTACCTCCAGTGGGGCGCTCCTAGTGCAGGGCAGGAAGACCTCCATCCTCTGCCAAAATCTGCTGCATTGCAGAGGACCTCGTAAGATTGTCACCCTACTTACACCTAAGGCCCCTTCCCTTGTACACTGTGCTTTTACGTTTTCATTCTTTTGCCTCAATAAAATTATCCTGAATTCCACTTAGTGACTCCTCCTCTTCCTTTCTTCTACCAAGGCCCTTACAACTTGACATGGCACAAAGCAATAGCTCAACGCGTCATTGGGGTGGATGAAGAAGTGCCACAAGGCCTCTCCTAGTAAATGAGCCAGCACAACCAGCAACAGGACAGACTGCTAGCTAGGGGCTTCCAGAAGTGACCTAAGCCCACCCCTCACCCAGGCTCAAACAAAGGATACACGTTTGCAAAGATTCCTTGTGCATGCCTCTGATAAAACCTCCCTGCATCACCACACAATTGACCAACTCTCCTACCCAGCATTGGTCTCCAGCCCTCCCAGCAATCAGAACCACAGAATCATGTAGTTTGGCAGGACCTAGGTGATTTGGAGAGAAACAGCTTCAACTTCCCCTATCAAGCAGGGCCAGCCACAGCAGCTTGTCCAGGACAATAGCCGTTTGGGTATTCGGCAACCCCCAGCATGAAGATTCCACAATGTCTTCCACTCTTCAACCATGCTCACACTGAAAAAAGATTGCCTTCATTGCCCATGAAATTCCATCTCTTTTCCCTTGTGCCCACATCCTCTTGTCCCACCACTGGTCACAAGCCTCAGGGCTCAGCACTTCAGCCACTGCCTTCCAGCCTCCTCACCGGCCCCATCACAATCCATACTTTCCTGCCTTGCTTCTCTAGGAGCACGTAATGGGAGACAGTGACAGAGCCTTCCTTTAAGTACAGCTCAACAATAGACACTGCTCTAAACTTGGCCAACACCCTGTTGTTGGCAACAACAGGGAAGACACAGAGGTTGGTCAAGGACAATTTCCATTCCCAAAATCCACACCTAAAACCACAGCACGTCACCCTGACCTTGCTGGGCATGGCAGTGCTTTCCAGGAAGGTTTCTTCTGTCACCTTCCCTAGGAATGAGGTCAGGCTCAACCGTGGGCTCAGCCCCAAGGACCCAGTGGTCCACTCAACATGGGGATGGGCAGCTTGGAACTGAGGGAGAACATAGCCAGTGGGGATGTAGCGGCTTCCCTGAGCCCGCACCACCTAGTGAACTGCACCCACTATAGGAGCCTGGGTGCTTAAGTAGAGAGTTACAGAGGGTAAACACAACAATTCGGGGTACTTGGAAGGACTCCCCCCATCACAGGGCTCACCAGCTTCAACCAGGCCCACCAGGACCACAGCCAGCTATCAAGAGCAAACCTCTTATGACTGCTTGCAAAACAACACACAGGAAGTGCACCAAGAAGGCAGAAGCCCTGTAGAGTCACCATCCTTTCTACCACCTACAACCTCACAAGCAAGAGGGGCACCAAGACACGCACAGAGCTCACCCAACAGGGGAGGACAGGTCTAAAGACAGGCTTAGCGACCTGATAGCAAGGTGTGGAGGGACTGAATGCGAAGGAAGGGGCAGCCCCTGATGGCCAGAACAGCTCCAAAGCACACACCAGCATGACAGAGCAGCGAGGATATGGGGGTTCCTCTTCACAACGCATCTCCAAACCATACCACATGAGTGCCACGGGATGACCTCACTGATGACATCCCACCTCACCAAAGCTTTGCTTGCATGCCATGCCAAATGCCATAACACGCCCACCAACACCAAGAACATGGCCTCAAATACTTCTACCTGAAAGCTGCCTTCAAGGCCAAGTAGACACGTTCTAAACAGAATGACACGAAATTGCAGAATTGCAGGAAGGAAAACACAACCACAACTAATTGCTTGCACGTATTTGACATGCACCAGCTGCTTGCACAAACATGCTGTCATGCACAAAGACTGTCTCAGCTCCCTCAGGCATTGCAGGACCAGCATAAAAGCCGGCCCAGAGCCTCTGTCCCTCACTCGCCTCTGCTGACGCCTTCTCCTGCGCGCTCAACAAGGTGAGCCTCAAGCCCCTTGCCCTCTGCTCCTGACCCCCTGCCCCAGCTCTTCCAGCACGCTCTGCCCCAGCCTCAGCACCCCTCACGCCTCCCCAGCAGCACAGCCCCACTCCAGCCTCCCCACTGCCTCGCCCTCCTGCACCACCGCCCCTTGCACCCACAAGTCCTCCGCTCTCCCCACACCCTCTCTCCCTTCCTCTCCTCTCCCCTGCCAGGGCCCCTCCACACCACAGACATGGCCTGCTACGACCTCTGCCGCCCCTGCGGACCCACCCCGCTGGCCAACAGCTGCAACGAGCCCTGTGTCAGGCAGTGCGAGGACTCCCGCGTCGTCATCCAGCCTTCCACCGTGCTGGTCACCCTGCCAGGACCCATCCTCAGCTCCTTCCCCCAGAGCACCGCCGTCGGATCCTCCTCATCCGCTGCCGTGGGCAACGTCCTCAGCGCCCAGGGAGTGCCCGTCTCCTCTGGGGGCTTCGGCTACGGCCTTGACTACGGCTTCGGAGGCCTGGGCTGCTACGGCAGAGGAAGAGGCTGCAACATCTGCTAAGGGCCCCTCACAAGATGCCTGAAACCACTCACGTACATTCAGGAAGCAAGGACACGGATTGAGAATGCACATCTGGGAGAATGCTAGGACATCCACACACCTTCCGCAGCTTTCTTTTACAGCACAAAGAAAGCAGGGAAGGGGACAGACCAGGCTGCCTGGTAACGTGGTCCTTGGATCTCTTCTTCAAGTTCCTTCTTTGCATCACCCTGTCAGCTATGTCCAGAAATGTGTGCTGAAAAATGCATCTCACTGGCTAAATTTCATTGGGGGACCTCCAGTGTGCTCCGCTCCAGCCAAGTCAGGAAGACCTCAAAGCTCTGACAAAATCTGTTGCAAACAGAAGACCTCAGTTCGTGGGCGCCCTCCTTGCACCTGAGACAGCTCTCTTCCATGTTATGTTTCTTCTTTTTCACTCTTTTGCCTCAATAAAGTACTTCTGCATTCAAGCCTTTGATGCCTCCTCTGCTTTTATTCTGCCATGGCTCTATCAGCTTCACTCAGCACAAAGCCAGGGCTCAACAGGCCATCAGTGTGGGTGAAAAAGGCTACAAGGACTCTCCCGGGAAATATGCCACCACAACCAACAAAGACTGGCACCTGGGGTGCTTCCATAATGTGACACAAGCCCACCTCTGCCTCAAACTAATTCTTAAGCATAACAACACTCCCCTGAGCATTACGGTGATGTCTCTCCAGGCTCATGAGACTATTCATGTAGGGTTCCAGGGCCACCAACACAGGGACTCATGGCCCCATCCCCACATGCTACAAGGACCCCACATTATGTTTGTTCTTTTTCACTCTTTTGCCTCTATAAAGTTCTGCATACAGGTCTACGACACCTCCTCACCCTTTCTTCTACCAAATCTGTTCCAACTTCATGCAGCACAAAGGCAGGGCTTAACAGGATGTCAGTGTGGGTGAAAAAGGGCAGAAGGATTCTCCTGGGAAATATACCACCACAACCAACAAAGACCGGCACCTGGGCTGCTTTCACAAGGTGATAGAGGTTTGAGCCAGCGCTGGCTCAAAGACAGTCTTGAACATGGCAACACTCCCTTGTTCATGCCTCTGATGGAGTCACCACAGATTCATGAGACCTTTCCGGTGGAGTCCCAGGGCCACCCACACAGGACCTCATGGCCTGGTCCGCACTTGCTGAGATGACCACAGGTAACAAATACAGTGTGCCCAGGACACCACCCTCCTTGCTCTGAGATCCACCTCTGACCCAGGTGTGGGTCGATGTTGCATCTCAACCAGAAGGAAGTGCAGCAGGAGGGCCAGGAGACCTCCTTGGATGGATAAGGTGTTTCTGAGGAAAATGCAAATGAAAAAAGAGGCTTATAATAAGTGGAAGCAAGGACACATGGCATGGGAAGTGTACAGGGATGTTGCCCGGGAAGCTAGGGACCAGGTTAGGAAAGCTAAGGCCCAGTTAGAATTAAACTTAGCTAGAGGTATTAAAGATAACAGGAAGGGATTCTACAGGTATATAGCAAATAAAAAACAGACTAGGGAGAATGTAGGCCCGCTCAGGAAGCTCTCAGGAGAACTGGCTACACAGGATTTGGAGAAGGCTGAGGTTCTGAATGACTTCTTTACCTCAGTCTTCACTGGCAAAGGCTCTGACCGCACCACCCAAGTCTTGGAAGGCAGAGGCAGGGACTGTGAGAATGAAGACCTTGCGCCCACTGCAGGAGAGGAACTGGTTCAAAACCATCTTAAAAATATGAACGCACACAAGTCCATGGGTCCTGATGAGATTCATCTGCGGGTCCTGAAGAAGCTGGTGAAGAAGTTGCGAAGCCGCTGGCCATCATATTTGAGAAGTCATGGCAGTCAGGTGAAGTTCCCGATGACTGGAAAAAGGGAAATATACCCCCCATTTTCAAGAAGGGGAAAACAAATGACCTGGGGAAGTACAGACCAGTCAGTCTCACCTCTGTGCCTGGCAAAATCTTGGAGCAGATTCTCCTGGAAGGCATGCTAAGGCACATGAAAATCAACAAGGTGCTTGGTGACATCCAGCATGGCTTCACAAAGGGGAAATCCTGCCTGACCAATTTGGTGGCCTTTTATGATAGGGCTACAGAACTGATGGACAGGGGTAGAGCAGTTGATGTCATCTACCTGGACTTGTGCAAAGCATTTGACACTGTCCCACACGACATCCTTGTCTCTAAATTGGAGCGACATGAATTTGATGGATGGACCACTCGGTGGATAAAGAACTGGCTGCATGGCCACACACAAAGAGTTGTGGTCAATGGCTCAATGTCCTCTTGAAGACCAGTAACGAGTGGTGTCCCTCAGGGATCAGTGCTGGGACCGGTCTTGTTCCACATCTTTGTCACTGACATGGACAGTGGGATTGAGTGCGCCCTCAGCAAGTTTGCCGATGACACCAAGCTGTGTGGTTCAGTTGATACCCTGGAGGGAAGGAATGCCATCCAGAGGGACCTCGACACACTTGTGAGGTGGGCTGATGCCAGCCTCATGAGGTTTAACCATGCCAAGTGCAAGGTCCTACACCAATGGGGCAAATGGGGATGAGAAATGAAGGTTCTAGTCAGTTCAACACACATTGTTGCTAATCCTCTTTGGACCTCACACTCTTTCCCTCCTCCATCATGGAATCCTTTCCAAGGGAAACAGCGCTCCATGAACTTACTCAACCTGAGCTCTTCAAACATGCTCTTCAAGACATGGGGAAAGCATCTTGGATCATCTAACAGAAACTTCCGACATGAACCCATCACAAGTACAACCTTACAAGCATAAAAAGGCACCATGACACCCTTAGAGCTCACCCAACAGGAAAGGACAGGCCTACAGACAGGATTAGTGACCTGGCAGCAAGTCAGGGCGGAACCTAATGCAATGGAAGGGGCAGCCTCTCAGAGCCAGCACAGCCCCAAGCCTGCAAGGACATGGGACTCCCTCTTCACAAAGCACCCACAAACCACAGCCATGAGTGCCACAGGATGACATCAGTGATGACACCCCCATCACTCCAATACTTTTGTTGCATGTTCTGCCAAATGCCCTGACATGCACCATCAACACCAAGCCTTTGGTCTCTAATACTTGAAAGCTGCCGCCAGGGCCAGAAGGACACGTCCTCAACAGGAGGACATGAACTTCCAGAATTCTTGGAAGGAAAACACAACCATAACTCGTAGCTTGCGAGGATCTGACATGTACCAGCTGCTTGCACAAACATGCTGTCATGCACAAAGACTGTCTCAGACCCCTCGGGCACTCCAGGACCAGCATAAAAGCCGGCCCAGTGCCTCTGTCCCTCACTCGCCTCTGCTGACGCCTTCTCCTGCGCGCTCAACAAGGTGAGCCTCAAGCCCCTTGCCCTCTGCTCCTGCCCCCCTGCCCCGGCTCTTCCAGCACGCTCTGCCCCAGCCTCAGCACCCCTCACGCCTCCCCAGCACCACAGCCCCACACCAGCCCCCCCACTGCCTCGCCCTCCTGCACCACCGCCCCTTGCACCCCCACGCCCTCCGCTCTCCCCACAACCTCTCTTCCATTCTCTCCTCTCCTGTCCCCTGCCAGGGCCCCTCCACACCACAGACATGGCCTGCTACGACCTCTGCCGCCCCTGCGGACCCACCCCGCTGGCCAACAGCTGCAACGAGCCCTGTGTCAGGCAGTGCGAGGACTCCCGCGTCGTCATCCAGCCTTCCACTGTGCTGGTCACCCTGCCAGGACCCATCCTCAGCTCCTTCCCCCAGAGCACCGCCGTCGGATCCTCCTCATCCGCTGCCGTGGGCAACGTCCTCAGCGCCCAGGGAGTGCCCGTCTCCTCTGGGGGCTTCGGCTACGGCCTTGGCTACGGCTTCGGAGGCCTGGGCTGCTACGGCAGAGGAAGAAGCGACATCTGCTAAGGGCCATTGACAGCACCGTAACACCAACCACCCTGGAAGCCACAGCAAGGAATCAGAAAGCATGTCTCTGCCACTGTTGGCCTATACATTCTCCATCCAGTACTGCTCCTCTGAAGGCAGAATGA